TTAAAGCACAGAGTAGAAACATGAAGGCAAACAGCTTCTATTCTTCAGTTACTATTCATTTACAGTGATTGGAAGTAAAACATTTCAGACAAATGAAAACTTTAAATGGGTGTCTTTTAGACAATGGTTAAGAATGATGATAAGCAGTCTATAACCTAAACAACCCACCAGAAGAAAATAAAAATTCAAGGGTCTATAACCTGTAAAAATAATTTCTCTCTCATATTAACTCTTTGTATTCAGATATTCAGACAAGCATAACTCTGTTCTCACTTACCTCATCCCTTTTCTTTTCCATCTCCACCATTTCTTTATTAAGTTCTTCTAACTTCTTTTCATTTGCAGCCATTGATTCCTGAAGCTTTGCTTCATTGGCCTGCATTTCCTCTAATACTTCAGCAGAGTTTGCCTTTGTCTTTTCAGCCATAAAAAACTGATAAGCTATACAGAGGCGGCTTAAATGTTCTATTGCTCGTACTACTTTTTGATATTCTAGATAGGATGATCGTTCCTGAAAAGACACCAATTTAAAAAACCACTCTAAAATTTGATGGAAAAATAATATTAAGTAGGAATGTTACAGAAATCTTCTAAGCACTTCTACTAACATTATTATTTGTAGATAAGAGAAAGGATTCTCCGTGTTAAGGAATATACTCAGTGTTGTACATTCAAGCCTGCTTAGGAAGATCTTAGATAAAACAATACTTGTACAATTGATTGTACAGCAGAAATATCACTTCCCATGTTTTTTTAAGAATTAAGATGTGTTTTTATCTTCTATTTTTATCTAGTTATCTTGTTTTCGTCCTTCTCCCTATATTCTCCTCTAGGATGTCCTGGAGTCCCAAATGACACATTTTCTGTATTTGGACAGAATATAAAATTTCTCTCTCTCTGAAAACATTCTACAAATGTTGAATATATTCTACATGTTGAAAATATTCTGCAAATGCTGCTGGTTTAGCCACCACATACTAGTTCAGGGTAGCTCAAAGTCTATTCGAGTACTTTGAGGGCCCTACCCCTCTTCTAACTTTTTCATACCTCTTTCAGTTTCTGTAAAGTTGGAGTGATCTCCTCACTTAAGACCTGAAACACAAAGCAGAACATTAGTATTAAAGATTTTTAAAACTCTTTTGTGTCTAAGCATGAATACCTAGTTCTGGGTGCATAAATGAAAGTCTAAAAGTTAAAAACGACACTAGTTATCTTTAACAAATACAAAAGAAAGTATACTTTCCAACATGTAGTACCGTTTGAATTGCTTTCAGTTTGGTTTCCTTCTTCTCTATGGTTTTCTGGACAGCTGCCTTCTTGCATTCATACATCCTAGTACCAGCTGCTTCTTCAACCATAGCTAAAAGCTAAAAAAATAAAAACCAATGCAACAAAATCTTGATGTTTCTTCTTATGTCAGATAGGTTCAACTCAAAACCGAGCTGAACAAACATCTCATTGCCCTCCGATACCATTTTCCCCTCCGATTGATTCTTGTTATTCAAAATAAATCAATAAAACTTCATACAAAAAACTGCTACAACTTTCTTACCTCTGCTGGCTTCATATTTAGAACTTTGGTAATTCGTCCCTGGTGACAGAAAGATAAAACAAGAATGGTGGTTGTGTACGACATAATAGCAAAAAACCAAAACAAACCCCCCCACTCATTTTCATACCTTACATTATAAACTCAAACATGGGGTTTGGCATGGCTGGTGTTTTTTTGGTTTGGTTGGGTTTTGTTTGTTTTGGGTTTTTTTTTGCTGCAAGGATACTCTAGTTTACTCAATTGTTTGATTCTTGAAAGTTCAAACAAGTCACTTCCTCATATTCTGTTATAGAGTCTTACTGAGCTGCTGATGTTGAATAAGCTCTTAATCATAAACTGGCTTTTTGGAGATTTAGTAACTAGGGCAAAATAGGTACAAAACTTCCTCCTTTCTCCCTGCAACTTGGCACAGTTCCATTTGAAACAGTAGATCCTGCTCTGTTCTATTATTCTTGCAAATATTTCAGGGATTTGTTTAGTCCCTGTGTTGATGTTTATAAGAATCTTTTTAATTGGTCAGCTCCTAACTGTGACTTAAGAAAGCAGGTATATCAACTTCATTCAAAATATTGTCTATCATGGAACAGACATAATAGGAAATAAAATCTCTGACTTTTTAGAATTATAATAAAAGCAACACTTATCTGTTAAAGAGATAAAAAAATAAAATTGGAATATGTTTAAGAAAAAACTTTCTACATGAAGTCTTGTGCTACAAGACACACGATATGGGGTCAACCTATGCTGTACTGGAACTCTTAACTACTTAACAAACATTTGATTTTTACTTGTTAAGAAGTTGCTTTTCTCTGGTTAGGAAATTGTGTTCTTCCACGATCCATCCTTGCACTTAAATTTAGTGCAATTTCTATTCTTTTTGAATTTTATAAGGATGAACACAATACCTGCATAATGAGGAAGTGAGGGTTATTGACATTGAGTCCAACAGAACAGAAGAGATCCTGCACACGACTGTTGGAAGCATTCACACCATTGATAAGGTACTTATTTCTACCTCCAATGACAACCTGGAGAAGGAAAAGAAATGGAAGAAACTTTAAGTGATTTAAAAATGACTTGACATTATGAGAATATACATTTTAATGAAGAATAAAAACTCTGAGCAAATCCCATATATTATATCTTTGCATACTATACAGAACATCAAAACAGATCTTGTAGGACTGAAGACACATTTAAACTATTTAAGTAAAACATAAGAAGGATCAGTCATCGGGGGTGATATTGATAAGAAAATTTCCAAACTCCACAAGTTTTTACTTCTACAATTTGTGTTACTAACTACACTGTAGAAGCATTGCCTCAGTTCCAAAAACTCAGAGACTTTAAAAATTACTTCTTTTTTTTTCTTCAAAACTCACCCTGTTGAGCATTGTGAAAATGTATATAGATTACTGAGCAATACAAATATTAAAGACTCACCTGCCTAGTGACGGTAATCTCATCATTAGCTTCAAATCCCAGTGGACTTAATTTCTTGTCAGTATTATCAAAGGTAATAGACACAGTTGCTTTAGTAATTCCAGCTTGCCCATTTTTATAAACTAGGTCTTGCAAGTTGGAAGCTCGCACCTAAATCCATGGAAAAGACAAATACATTTTTGAAAGAAATCCACTACACAGCTTCAGTGGACTGGTGTAGGTCTTGGAGAAATCAATGAAAAAAATGCAGATCTAGCTGTAGATTTGAGTTCACATGAGAGACTGACATTTGGGAGCTACAAGGTGCTAGTCTTGTAAAACCACAGGCAAACCATGCCAGTCTATTTTTAGTTAGCCAGATAATTATTTCTGCATGAGATTCCTAACAAAAACTGAATAGATGTTTAAAAAAAAAAGCCAGATGATTAGTTCAGTCACTAGTACATTTACTTAAAGAACATTTATTTTTTTATTCCTAATGCAGTTCTGAATAAATGGGTAATAAATAATAATACATAATAAATAAGGGGAATAAATGAATACAAAAAAAGTGTTGCTTCGATTTGTCTACAATTATGAGGGTAGGGAATAGAAAAGTAACACCTGAAGACAGAGATTCGAAGTGATCTGAGAGCACACAATTTTATAAGAGTTAAGCAGATATATTGTATTTTAAATGGCAGACATTGCATGAAAATCACCTTGTTTTTTTCTGATGAACCAGTTGGCCAAATTTTAATACCCAATCCAGAAGTGAAAACATTTATTACAAATAAACAGGTTAGTGCCTTTAGCTGCAAAAGTTCTTCAGCTTGAGGCTGCTACCCTTTAAGTGGGTATTCTTAGTATAATATTCTAAGCTGCATACTTTGAGCGACTGTAGTATAATGATGACATTGTAATTCAATCTTAAGAAAGAGCAAGAGTGACACAGATTCAGTTATATGTAATGAATGTGGGGGATTTTTCATATATAGAAGCACCACTTTAGGTCCTCCATCAGATTACTCACGAGAGTAATATGAAATGTTGCTGACAGAAGAACGACCTTTCTTATATGCAATCTCTCTCTTTACCTGTGTCAAGTTGGTGATCCCCAACAGGAAACAGATTGAGTCCAAGATATTGGATTTGCCACTACCATTCAAGCCAGTAATGGCATTAAATAACGGATCAAAGCCATTGATTTCCGTCCTCTGAGCATAGGACTTAAATCCTTCAAGAACAATTGATTTGATGTACATCTTCTCTGTGTCCCTAAGGGACTGGGAAAAGTATTCCTCCCAAGAGTATGAAAGAAGGTGCCTGGATTATAATCCTACGGATTTCAAAGAGAAAAGAAAAAAAAAAAAAAAGGCAAATGAATCATAGTGCATGCCGAACAAACAGCTAAATGTGTGAGAAAATTAAAAGAACACATGCCTTTTACAACAAAAAGATTATAAACGGAAAATTCCGAGTGGACCCCAGGTCCAGGAAGCATCACAACAATAACCTGCATTTCAATATTTTTAAGCAACGTGACTTTACTCAACGTTCATCACGACCCTGGTTTCTCACAAAAGCCAGGCGTGACTCCACCAGCCGAGGAAGGAAAGGCCCGGACCTTTCAGACCCCGGCAGAAGGGGACCCTCCCTTTCCAGCCCGCAGGGCTGCCACCTGCTCGGCCCCACCGCACCGGAGGGCTGCGGCCCAGGGGAACGCCAGCCTCGGCTCTGAGGCGCGATGAACACCGGCAGCCCCATCCCTGCCCCTGCCGCCGCCATGGCACCCCCTCACATCATCTCGCCGCCGGCGCCGCGGCTCCCCACAGCCCCGCCGGTTCCCCCTGACAAGCCAGCCCTCGCTGCCGGCTACGGAGTCAGCCGGGCTCCGCTCACCGGTCGCTGGCGGCCCTGTCCCTGAGCCGCGGTGCCGCACCGCCGGCCCCGCTCTCCGGTCGGCCGCAACGATTGAATTTTGGCGCCGAGCGTCAGCGGCCGTTAGAGGAGGCGCCTAATGGCGGCTGCCCTGGAGCTGCCTGCTTCCGGCGGCCCACCTCCTGGACAAGAGGGAACAGCTCCGCTCCGCATTACTTCTCGGAGGAGGGGCGAGCACGGCCGTAACACAGCTCCTCGGCCTGAGGGAACGGCAGGCACCTTCAGGTCAGGCGAGCGCGGCGGGCGGGCGGGCGAGCGAGCGAGCGGGGACAGAGAAGGTCCCCGCCGGCCCTGACAGGCGGAGAGGGGCGGAGCGGGACGGGACGGGAGGAAAATGGCGGGTCGGGTTCCCGTGAGCGAAGGCAGCTATCGCTATATGACTGCAGTCCTGAGAGAGGAGGAGATGGCGGGTCTTGCTCCCCTGAGGAGCTGTAGCGATGGGGCCGCTGCCTCAGAGAGAGGAGGAAATGGCGGGTCTTGCTCCCCTGAGGAGCTGCAGCTGTGGGACCGCGGCCTCAGAGAGAGGAGGAAATGGCGGGTCTTGCTCCCGTGAGGGAAGGGAGCTGCAGCTGTGGGACTGCGGTCCCTTGAGAGAGGAGAGACCGGGGGTGGGTGAGAAGGTGTTTGAGTATTAGCGTGGGGTTATGTGGTGGGTCTGAGGAGCTCGGGTGTTAACTCCAGGGTACGGCGGAAAGTGCCTTTTTATCGCCTATAAATTACATTAAAATTTAGAAAGTGTAGTTCTGTACTTCAGTTCCCACACCCCTTTCCCCCCCTTTCTCTCTGACTCCGTAAAAACCCCAAACCCAAAACTCTGCCTGGTCAGCTATCTTGCTGCAATTTAGAGGTGTTTCCATTTAAGCGGAATAAAGAGAACCTACTCAAAATTTGCAAGTGCTTGTCACCGGAAAAACAGTAGTTGCCCAGTGCTGCTGGGAAAGCAAAGTCAGCTGAATGCGTTTACTCTTTCCTGAAACTACTGTAGTTGCACTGTAAAAATAGACCAGTATTTTGCAAGAGGGCCCCTTTGTTGTACTGTACTGTCAGCTGGGCTTTAGTGTCCACTGAGATTGGGGAGCTGCTGTAAAACTGATGGTGTTGATTTACATAGTTTATAGTCTGGGTTTATTTTAATCAATAGAAATAATTAAGACTGCAGTTCTATATTACAGGAAAAAAATTTGTGTGTGCCTGCTTGCTTCCAGAATTACACTGGATGCAGCTTGATTTGCTTTAAGACATTACTGTTACTGCTGGATGTACTCTAGTTACATGGTTACACCACCATGTAACTACGCAGCCATGATTAAATGCCACTTTTTACTTGCCAAATTGAAAATCCTTCAAAATTACTTTTGAATCATTTTTGATTGGCAAAAAGTCTGCAGCCTGTGGCAAAGGTGCTTGCATGTTTCTTGTTTGAAGGCCAGTTCCTGATTAGTTTTCTGTGTGAGTTTTTTGATGTGAGAGACTTTCCACTAGGAAGATAGCTATGTATGTTTTTATTTGCATGTGACATGAGAGAGAGAGTTAATTTCACCCTTTAAGTGTTTATGTAATAGCTTTGACCTCATTACCCCTAAAAGTTGGGTGCTTCACTTGGTATAATGGTAGAATGTGCTATTTAAATTATGGTGTTCAATTTTCAGGAATTTTAAAAAATGTTGAAACTACCTAACATGGAGTTAGCATGTTGCAATGAATATAGCATGTGATTTAAAGAAGAAGTATTTTTAGCAGCTGCTTACCTAGGAGAATTTGTGCTAGTGTGATACTGTAATGTGCATTACAGATGTGTAGCAGATGCCTTTCTAGCTCTGAAGTCACAAGTAAGTACTCTACAAAGGTAAACATATAGTATAGCCTCACTGGTTCATGAAATAAGTATTTTAAGAGTTGAGAAATGGATTGATTTTAGTAAGTATGTAATGATACACCACAAAATTAATGAAGACAATTCAGAAAGAGGTGGATTTTTTGGAACTCATTAGTGTGCTCACTAGAATCTCTGAGGACTGAAAGCATGGTCACAGCAGAGACATAAAAGACAGTGTTCTGTTTCGGTAAAGGAACACCTGTTTCTTTTTATTTCATGGGATGAATTCAATAGTAAGCATTTTGGGTAGACAAATCTTGTAGGGGCTGTGTTTTGGGGTTTGGTGGTTTTTTTGCAAATCATGCTATAGTGCTGTTGATTCTTTGTTCAGATGAGATAGTTGTTCTTTTTTTCTTCTCAGGTTTCAGTTCTGGTGAAAGAAATTAAGAGTGTGTACATCCTGAATAAACCTTCCATGAGAGTTTTCTGGTGCTTCAGGTATTTTGAAGAGTGTGCTGCAGAAACCTGGGCCAAATAATAAGTAAAACCAACAATCATAAATAAATATGAAATTATAACTTTGCTTGCTCCTAATATTGATTTAATTCTTAAGGTGTTCATGTCACGGTTCATATAAGCACTAGTTGTTGTACCAAGAGCTTAATACAAATTAAGAGCGCTAGTTGCCAGTATATAGTCACAGAAGGATGTGGGTTGGTAGGGATTTCGGGAGGTGACATAGTCTGTACACATGGGCAAAGCCAGACCAGACTGATCAGATTGCTCACAGGCATGTGAAGTTGTAGGAATTTTAAAGATGCAGGTTCCACAGTCTCCTCAGGGAACCTGTTCCAGTGTCTGACCCCATAATGGTTTGGGGAGGAGAAATCCCCAAACTTTCCATGTATTATTGGAAAATAACTGTCTTGCAAATAACATTCATCACCTCTTACCCTGTTGCTGTGCACTGACCTCAGATGAGCTGGTTTCCATTTTCTTGATACTGTTTTACTAAGCAGCTGTAGTTTTTGTTTCTGACTGAACAAAGCCATTTCTCTCAAGTATTTTTACTGTTTGTTACAGTTTTCTAGTCTCTTCATCAATCTGGTATCCCTACCTGGGACTCACTGAAGTATCTCAGTGGTGTTCTGGATGTAGCTGGGTCCAAGTTCAAGGTGGTGGGGATGGACTGTGTCCTTCCAGGTCATGAATGTTCAGGTCTTTTATAAATTAATAAAATTACTCATTTGTGCACCAGTTTATCTCACCAGTTTGGCTGTAAGGATACTGCACGAGGTTGCGTCAGTGACCTGTTTATATCTGATTCTTTGCTGTGTTTATGCAGCTTTATTTGCCTATGTGTTCTTCATGGAAAGAGCTGTTCTTCTGTCAGTCTAAAGCTGGTACAGATTTCGTTTCCCCGGTTAATAGCACCTAAGATCCACTAGTGTAGGTTATAGCTCAGTTTCCTGCAGAATTTGGGACCACAGGTGAACTGGCAAATCCCATCAGTTGTTCAGATTTGACCAGCACATTGAAATTCACTAATCTGACAGTTTGGGAAGGGAAGCAAGAACAAAGGTAAACACCAGACCAAATATTAAGCAGGTGATTGAGAAATTCTGACCTTCCTTCTGTCAGATAACTGAGACTAAAGTACATTTCTAATCTATGCAAGTTGAATACTCCCTAGATGTTGTTTCTTCTGTGGTGTGATACTGCAGTCTCCTTGTGGGGTAGGAGGTTTGTATCTGCTGGAGTCTGTATCCCTCATGAGCTGATATTCCCATTAAGGTTTACAGCCCTTGAAAAGAAGGGTCCTGGGGCAGAAAGTGAGACCCTGTGTTCACTGGCTGTGGAATATATTGGTACAGTGCTGTGCTGAGCTGATGTGCGCTGCGGGAGCGGGGAGGTCCTCATGGCCCTTTTGCCAGCTGCTGTCTGCTGTCTAAAGCAGCGATGTAGCAGGTGCTGATCACTGCTGTGTGCTTCCACCCTTCTGCTGCAGTTCCTTAGGCTATCATTGTCTTCCCTCTTCTTTTTTTTTTTTTTTTTCCCCTCTATCTTTTAATCCACTTGACACCTCTGTAGGTGCTGTTCACTGGTGGGTATCTTTCTTAAAATTTAGGTCCTTACCCCTTCTGCTGCAGTTCCTTAGGCTATCATTGTCTTCCCTCTTTTTTTTTTTTTTTTTTTCCCCTGTATCTTTTAATTTATCCCTCTCAGACTCCTTACTGATGTATTGGAGTGTTAACAGATAACAGGTGTATCTCGGATATGCGAGGTGGGCTGAAGCATCAAGTTTCCTTGAGGGAGAAGCTGGCTGTGTGTGTGTTACGATGTTACGAGCAGGAACTCATTCAAGAATCAATCTACCCTTGTAATACTGCAAAAATTCAGGAGAGGGCCTCAGAAGGGTTGCTGGTGCTTGGAAGTATGTTTGTAACTTCCCTTCTGAGCACACAAGGCTGTCATACTACACTACACTGCAAGAGACAGGGTTGCTTAACCTTTGTAGAAGTCAGTAATGAGAAATGAGGGAAGGAGCAACCAACAGACAGGTTTAGTTTAAGATTGTTGCCTGAGATTTCTTACCTTTTTCCCCTGAAACAGTATTACTTGCTTGGTGTAGTCAAAAGTTTAGGATGTAATTTAAATTGAGTTTTCTGGAAATATAAGCTTAATGGAGCTTTTAGTTCTCTTTGGCAGCTGTGAAGTCAGGCAAATGAAACATTTCTTCCTCTAGTGCAGTTACAGGCGTCTCCCTGCAAATATAAGCTGCGAAACTGCGCTGCAACATGTCTCAACAACCTTGATGAAATTTTGCCTTTACTGATGTTGCAGCATGTGCTTGGGACTGTATCTGCTTGGGACATTTAAGCAAAGGAAAACGTAGAAAGTGCTTGAAAGAAGTTTAAGAGCACCCTGCAGTGACCAGGGAATCAGAGCTGGCTCTTCGAGAAGCTTTGACTTGGTTTGTCAGCCCAGGTTATCTGCAGTGTCTTCCTTCCCATCCATGGGCTTCTTGCTTATTCTTTCTTATCAGTTGTACTTCTTAAGATTCTCATTTTATGTGCAATTTCTGAGAGCTGAAGGGCAGCTGACGTGTTTCAGTACAGGTCTTGGCTTCCCTTTTCCCCTCCCCGTGTGAGCTTGCTCTGTAGGAATGTTGAACCTCTGTTGGAATTGCAGCCTTGTAACAAAGTGCGGGAAGGCGCAGTCTTTATACCAAGTGATGACTACTCACCTCCAATCTTTGACCTCCTTCCAGGGCTGGACAGGATTGCATAAAGAAGTGAAGTTGCAGCTTCATTGTTTCAGAGTGCAGTGTCATGCTTGCTCAGATATTTGCAAGATAGCGTCTCCCAAGAGTAGTGTGGGAGTGGTTTGCCTTTACCTTGATTTTCACCATGGGAAAAAAATAATTTCTGAGAAAGCACTGTAATAGCTAAGCCAGAGAGGAGGAACAGGTAATTTTTCCAAAGACATGCAGGCACTTAGGATTTGAGGCCATATTAACTTCCAGGTAATTGGCAATCCTTTAGTGTATGGAGAATCCTGAGGTAGCCTCTGGATTATGGCTCCCTTGGCAGTCTCTATTGCCAAGAACTCCTTTTAAGTTTGTTTGTTTGTTTGTTTTTTAAAGTATTTAGAAAGTCCTTTTTGGTGGTGCCTCGCAGATTTCTTTGAAAGGCTGCAGGAGACTGCATAAATTGGGTCTGGAGGAAGGGACTAGATGAGATGATCTCCTGGCAGACTTTGCTGTTGTGGTGGATTTTTCCTCAGCACTGATCCACAAACTAATTATGTCTGAGAGATACATTTCACTCAGCTTTTAATCATACCCTTTTCTTCCAACGTAGCTGGGAGCATAGCTGTTCCTGCTTCAGAATGGAGATAAAAGAAAACTAGTACCACAGCCATATCTACAAATTAATTGTGACTGGCAGCAAGATGAAGTTATGTTAAGCTAGCCCCAGATTTGAACTGAACTTATTTGTAACTGACAGGCTTCTAAGATGATTTCGTCCTGAAGGTTAGATTTGGACAAGCATGGGTGAGAAAACCATACCACACAAGATACAAATGTTATTTGGGGTTACTGAAGGAAAGTAAATTTTGCTGTCTTGAGAGCTTCACTACTTTCCTACTTAATGTGAAGATTACCAGATTTTAGGTATCACCACCAGCTCCCCATCCTCCAGTCAAAATCTCTTGGTTTTTTAGTATTTGTCTGTCTTCTCTGATTCCTGATCACCTCCATTTGCTAGTATCTACTATGGGATCCCAGTTTTCACCTCTTCCTTCTTCTCTTCTCTCCCATTTTCCCCTGAATTGTGAATCTCTTTCCCTGCAGTGATTTGGGGGATTGAGCTGTGATAACCTGTGTGAACGTGCTTTGCTTGCAGCTCTGCTACAGTTTGCACCAGCTGCAGTGTCTGAACACAGACTGGATCTTTGCTTTCTTACCTATATTGTTAGTGCACAAAGTCAAGATTCCACAATCCGTTACTTCTTTCCTAAGTGTCTGATTTTATGGAAAAAGTTGATAGGGATTAATGTAAAAGCTTATTCTTTGATAACTTGATGGGCTAGGCAAGAGGACAAAGAGGGTTTGAAGGACCCCGTTTGAAGGACAGAGTAAGTGCTGTCTTGGACTTCAATTTCAGTTAAAGCTTTAATAGTTCTTTTATAAGGATATCAGGCAGAAGTGCATCACTTTATTTTTTTTCTTGGATTTACTAGAAATTAATTATTTTTAAAAGAGTCTTTTTATCACCATCATGAATTGACTTTCCTCGAGTTTTTATCATAGCTGCAAAGGCAGTAATGATTCTAATGGTCTATGAAATACTTTATACAGAAAACACACAAAATAGATGTATTATTCAGATGCCATGACACTGACAACAAAGTAGTTTTACAGTGTGATGGTTACTGGTCTTGGAGCCGAGATGGTGGTGTCGGTGACAAACACATAACCACTGGAAGGTAGTTATATGCGGTGCTTTATTTCACGGGCCCGGGAACCAGGGGTAGTCACCCAAATCTGGTTCGCCGATGACCGTGTCAACTTACAATTTATACCCTCACGATTATACAATTTCATACATATTCAATAGTCACCCCATCACCTCTTATTACATATTCATTAGGGATTGCTTCATAGATTGCGTCATTCTGGCGACATTCCAGTCCCTTCTGGTGGTCTTCGGTGGTCGTTTCTGATGAAGTAAGACGTCTTCCTCGCTGTGTACTTTTTACCTTTCGTCCTTCTGGTAGGTTTCCAGGCCCGTTTTAGATGCCTATCTCCTCCCTATTCTTCTTGACTTTTCAGGCGTCCTCGGTGTGCCGCTTCAGTAGCTTTAAACTATACCCCTCTCCCATTATTATAGAATGCAGTACCAGATCACAAATATACAAAGATTTTACACCAAGTTCAGAACACCTCGTATTTTCCAACAGTGGCAATCACACACTTAGTCCAGTAATGCTTTTATTGGACCCCACAAATGTTGCATCGCTGCTCTTTATGCTTTAGAGTTCTCTAATGTGCTTAAGCAACATAGTCCTTACCAGTTCTTATGATTTTATATCTAAACATACAAAATAATATTTATTTTTTTTTTAACCTGGAAAATTATTTGTGAATCCATTCATCAAGCATATGTCTTTTGCCTGTTTTCTGTTTGTTTGGGGCTTTTTGCTTTAGAGCCTACAGAAAACATCCCTAGCCTTGAAGTGGCTATAATAATGCAATTTCAGTAGAAGGTAAGAACTGGTCAGCAGATAATTTGTCCCATTCCTGAAGTTAGGCCTAAATGTAATAAAAGTGGTTCAGTGAAAATAATCTTCCAGTATTGTTTGTAGGAGAGATCATTGCTCTGCTGAAAAAAAGTGTGTACTGCAGTAAGTAAACATTTTTGTTTGGAATGTGGAGATTGATGTGAATGTGAGGTCTGGATATAGGAGCACCAGAAGGAACAGCAGAAGAGAGACAGAAATGGCCAATACTGATGGCACCTAGATTGGCACGTCACCAGGATTACAGCACATCTTTGTGCAGCTTCTTAGAGGATTAGATGGGGAAAACAAAGGACATCCTGGACCAAGAAAGGGCATGTTCCTGTACTCAGACTAAAGTGAAGAATCAAGCTGTTAAGAGATGGTGGTGGGAACGTAAACAGCAGGGCTGGAGCCTTGAGGCACAGAGGAAGGAGATAAAAAGCAGGGAGTCAGTATTGATGAGTCACAGAGGTGAGAAAGGATGGGAAACAAAGCAGTTCCAAAACACTGTTGTCTCCCCCGGGCTACAAATGGCACACCAGCACATGGCTGCCATCCTTTGTCCCTGTCATTCCTGGCTGGAGCACTTGGGTCCCTGTGTCTGAACACAGGACACACTGCTGGGACAAACACATCTGTGTGTTGTGGGTATTAGCGAGGGAGCGAGGTCAGTTTTGTGTTACCCCAAAATCACCTTTTGGACCTACAAGCCCCTTTGCTGAGTTTGCACTCCTGTTGCTGCAGTGTTGCAATGTACTAAAATAATATAATTGATACTAAAGCAACAGCAGCAGTGGATGGAAATGCCAGAGGAGCTGCCAGGGGAGTGCCACCTGCTGATTTTTTTTTTTTAAAGAAAAAAATGTTTGAAGGTCAGATAACAATTGCTGCAGATAAATTTTCTGTCACCTTTGTTCTTGTGACTGTATGTGGTATGTGAGGAATGGTGGTTTTGGCTGCTCACTTAGTGAATGCAGGATACTTTGAGAGAAAGCTTGATGATACTTCTTTCATTTTGTGAAAGACCTACGTGTCCTGGTAGGACTTGACCAGGCTGTTCCAGTGCCTCACCACCCTCATAGTGAAAACTTTCTTCCTAACATCTAATCAAAATCTTCCCTCTTCCAGTTTGAAGCCATTATCCCTCATCCTATCACTCCATGCCCTTGTAAAAAGTCCCTCTCCAGCTTTCTTGTAAGCACCCTTCAGGTACTGGAAAACTGCTATAAGGTCTCCCTGGAGCCTTCTCTTCTTCAGGCTGAACAAACCCAGCTTTCAGCCTGTCGTCTTAGGAGAGGTGCTCCAGCCCTCTGATCATCTTTGTGGCCCTCCTCCAGACCCGTTCCAACAACACGTCTATTTCCTTCTTCTGTTGGGGCTCCAGAGCTGGATACAGGACACCAGGTGGGATGTCACCGGAGCAGAGTAGAGGGGCAGAATCACTTCCCTCACTCTGCTGGCCACACAGTCTTTTGATGCAGCCCAGGTCATCACAGAAAGTTGCAGAGTGCTGATGAGTTTCTGGGTCTGGTCGCTTTTGTTTTCATCTAAATAATGGAGAGGTTGCCCTGTTCTCCCTGGTCCTTGCTTGTGTGTCTTTAAAAAGTCTTGTTTATGTTCTCAGGTCTCTGTTTCGAATTAATACTTTTGTCTTCAGGTGTTTTGTAGTTGAACATGCCCCTACATATTGATCTCTTTACACTTTCCGCCCTTCGTATTCAGCTTGAGTATTTTCACAAGAAAAAATCAAATCTGAAGACAGATGGTCTCTGGACAAAGTTCTCTGCCGTGCCACATAACCTCATTGCAACACAGTTGAGGCAAAATGCCAAAGTTTGCTTCTGTTCCTTAAAGTGGCTCTGCAATGCACAGAGGTTCCAGCATGCAGAGGCAGAGCCACAGAAGCTCTGATCCTTTGGTGCTTGCAGTGGGAAGGGTGAAGGTGTCAGAGCACACACCTTGGTATGGGTGTCCTTTGAGAGCCTGCAGGCATTTCACCATGTAAATGTCATGATAGTGTTCCCTTGTGATAGTGGTGTATGTATGGATTATTCGCTGTGTTAAATGGTGGATTGAACAGTGAATTTTGTATTCATTTTTGGTTAGATATTTTTTCTTCAGTGGCAGAACTCTTAAGAGGGCAGGGCTGGTAAAATGTGACTTGAAGAAACTCCTGCTGCAGAGCTATCCCTGTAGCCTCAGTCTCCAGACTACAGTATTTTGTAGTTTATAGGACTGGGGGTTTTGTGTAGTTGGCTTGGCATATTGCAAGGCATTATTGTGCAACTGGCTGGGCGTTGAATTGGAGTGGTCTGTAAGGATGATCTCAAATCTTAGTAGGAGAAAGGTGACTCACGTTAGGTGTGCCCTGTGCCAGATTTACTGAGGGTTTACTCTCGCTCCTGAGGAAGTGGACTGAGGGCGGTACCTTCTCTGTTAATAAAAGCAGATGTCTTTGCATTTTAGGAGTGTGTGACTGAAGGAGTCCAGCCACCAAGTGAGGAGGGTGCCGAAGGTTATTGACTGGCCTTGTCAGCAGAAGACGTGGTTTTCTACTTGCCTGCTCTAAGTATAAACTTCTCTTTCTTTGCCCATGTTGATGCGCTTGCTTATAGGAATGAAAAGGGGGCTGTAAGGGTAAAACAAATGCAAGTTGGTTTTTTGTTTGTTTGTTTGTTTCCAGCTTATATAGAAAATGCTGGTGACAGTGTTCTCCCAGTTCCAAGCCCTGAGCTCTGCAACTGGAGAAGCATTTTCTTTCAGCATAGGGGGGTGTCATTGAAAGAGGTCTTTCTTACCTTTGTCTTTCTCACTTGCACTTTCCTTCAAGCTTGTAAAAGTTAGGTTTGGTACACACCCCATGTAATCAGAGCAAAAGAGTGAGTTAAATGTTTTATATTTTTCCTTCCAGAATTTTTTTTTCTCCTTAACTGGTAGATTTTCCCTCTTTGATTTCTTTAGGGTGGTAGCTATACATCTTGCTGGGGCTGACTTTCCACACCAAGGCTTGCTGCCAGGAGGTTGCAGGGGGCTTTGGGTTGCTTAGGCAATGAGGGGACTTTTGAGATGTTTTCTCGATCCTGCGATGTTGCCACAGGATGCAAGCAAAGGCTGTCTCGTGTGACGGCACTTTATCAAGTTACTGCCCTATTTGTAAAGTCTAAACTAGCCCCATAAGCAGCCCAGCACCATTGGTCATCTCTTTTACAGGCGCTCTTTGACTGTTCTGTTTGTTGTGCAGGATGGTGACTGCCAAGGTGTGGGTTCTGAAGAAACATTTTGAGGGATTCCCCAAAATGAGTGACTTTGACCTGAAAAACATAGAGCTGCCAAACATAAAGGATGGAGGTAAGTGGAGTGCCACCTGTTTTTGTTTTTTTTTTTGAGGTTGTCTGGTTGCAGACGAATGACTCTGCATCTAACTGTTTGTTTCTCTGACTTGGATTTTCAAAAATGCATTGGCTTAGGAGAGAAGTGTGATTGCTCAAGAAAATGTATGTTGATGGGTTTGGTGGGTTTTAAGACACGGTACATTCTTATCATACCCTTAGAAACAATGGCTGAGCTCTTCTAACTCCAGCACACAGCAGCTGTGGCATACCTTTCAGCCTCACACTGGTACTTCTATAGCATTCAGACACACAAATTTAATGCTTGTGGATATTTCAGACAATAAAGTAGTTTCTTCCTTCCCATTTTAACCCATACAGCAAGAAAAGGCATAACTTCATGAGTAACATGAAAGAGTAACACTTTCAAAGGAGATAGTCTTTCTTGTTCTGTTACATGGCCCTGATTATTCTTCCTGCTCACTGTAATGGGAAAATATTTAAATATGAATAAATTTCTAGCTTGTACTAGCTAGCATAGGCAATGAAAAGTATTATAAGGTGGAGATGAACAGCTAAAACTGCTGTGTGAATGAGAATTTAAATTAAAATTTGTTTAACTGTATATTTCACAAGAACTAGTGTCATTAGAGAGAGTAACATGGATTAGGCTACCTAGAAAAGACAGACTAATGCTTTCTGTTTAAGGCAGCAAAGTAGTGTTTGTACTTGAACTGTGCCAAGGTTTCTTACCACCCTCTGCTGGCTGAAGCATGGGAAGGCATTTTATATCTGGGTTGAAAGAATTTTGAAAGTATTTTGCCTCAGGAGTTTGGCCTCTTGAGCCTTCTATATAGAGAGGAGGCAGATAATGAAAAACGTGGCTGAAAAAAAGCTAGCCTGCTGAAGAGACAGTATAGAAACTGTCTTTTGTAACAGCACAGCGATAATCCAGACAAAGGTAATGAGTGTAGTAGTTGATTCTGGTAGATTTTCCCTAAAGGATGATGGGATATGGGGTTTTTGAGCTGTCAGGAATTCCTATAGCTTTTGTTGAAAGACTGAATTGTGGGAACTCTGCTTTGCTGCACTGCTAATGCCCAGGAATTTGCTTTGTCTTTTGTTGCAGAATTGCTGCTTGAATCAGTGTTTCTCAGTGTTGATCCTTACATGAGGTACAGCTTGTTTCTTTCTTTCAAATTGCTGGCTAAGATATCTCATATGAAATCCCACTTAAACCTCAGAAGAGTATGTACTGGAAGCATCCCCTGTTGCCACAGGGGCCTTTGTCAGCTTTTTATAAAATGTGTATAAATTACAAGACTCCCAATGTGGAGCTGTGTCAGATTGAGCCAGACACTAGGATAATGATGCTGCAGCCTGTGACTTTTCTCAGACTTGGCTGTTGTTCCTTGCCATGTCTCTTCCACTGGAATGCAATGGGCTCAAATGTGATTGCAGCCCCGTTGCAGTAGGTGTTTCACTTCTCTTAGCAATCTGTACTTACTCTAAGCAGGGAATTGCTCATATGGCCATGTTAATAGGTGGTAGTTCAAGTACAAGGGGACTGAGTACTTTGAAGGCAAGCCCTAGTGTCAGAGGTAGTTCTTTGGAGTCTCAGCCTTCTTGTAGAGGTGGACCATACTTGGAAGATTAATGCTATTGCGTCCCCAACACTCTAGCCTGGTATTTGGTCAAGATGCTCAAGTAGCTGGCTATGGACAACATCCAGTTATGTCATTACAGTGACAAGCTCTTTACAATCTGATCAGCATTACTGCTTATGCTCTCTTTATGCGTCAGACAGTAGCTACTACTTCATGGTGTAATTGGAACATCATTAAATTTGCTTACAGTAAGCCATCTCTCTGCCTATGTTACAGACCTTACAGTCGAAGGGACATGAAGGAAGGGGACATAATGATAGGCACACAGGTTGCCAGGTAAGATCTTTGGTTCTTGTTATCTATATACATGGCAGATCTTGAAGGAATGTATTGACATTAGAGACATCTGTGGCCTGCATTACGTATTCTTGACATGTGTGTACATACTTCTGCAACTGTATTCTTATTTATAACTGATTGGAACGTGGTTTTCCTCTAAGAACTTCTTTTGCCTTCTTGGAGAGCATTTAGCCCTCTGGTGTCTGCTCTGTGATCTATTTGTCATTTCTGTTTTCAAAGGAAGTTTTCACAAGCCGAAGCATGAAGAACTGGTCATTGTACTTGCCACAAGTGTCAACGTCATGTTTTAAAATCTGATGTGCTAGTAGTTGTATGCTGGAAACCATGCATGCTATGTACTCCAACTCAGAACACCTCAGTGTCACCTAAGATACAGGTCTTGATGTAGCCAAAGAGTTTTCTAACATTAAGTCCATCCTTTCCCAAGCTTGTGGTAATTTAGCTACAGAGATGTTTCCCTTTGTCAGCTTGCTCCTGCTGTGCTGCCTTCAAGTCGCTGCCCAGGAGCACCTGTGGCCTTTGACACTTGTGTTTCTCTGCAGGACCACTGAGGGCTGGGATAAATTAACAACCAAGTCTGCTGAACAGAAAGCAAACTGTTTTCAGCATTTCAAAGCTGCTTACCTACCCCTTCCCAACATAGTTTTCCTGTTGAGCTAAGAAAGTTGAATTTTCATTTGGCGTAGAGGTACCGCAAGGATGAACTTCTCCTTGTTATTAGATACTGCTTTCTGTCTGGTTTTGTTAGCCCAAGATGTTCCATCTTCAGGATCTTCAACCTTTAAATGAGGTGTAGGTTGTCTGAGAAGGGAACTGCTTGTTACAGCTTATCTGTCACTTCTTGCTTTTCCAGCCTTTAATCCCAGTGTCTTCTTTCCTGCCTTCTAACTCACAGAAGCCTAGTCTGAATTCAGACCAGACTGGTGCTAGTCAAACAAAAGTCAGCATCCGTGTGGAAACATTGGATTTGTTGTGGGCAGGGCTGAGTCTAGAACCATCTTGCCCCGTATCCCCCTGGTGCTGAGAGAGAGATTGTAGACATTTCAGGAAAGACATCAGAGGCCTACAGCATTAGCAAGTGTGGGCTAAATGTCCTGATGTGAAATATTTCTTTTCTTCTGCATCACAGGGCAACAGGAGTAAAGGAGGGAAGAGCCAGTAATGATTTGTTTCCGTCAGGGTAATATTTCTTTTTTTTTTTTTCCCCTCTTTTTCTTTTCCTTCTTTTAAACAGGATTGTAGAAAGCAAGAATCCTGCTTTCACAGTGGGCGCCTTTGTTGTGGGTAGAAGTGGCTGGAGAACTCATTTCATCTCTGATGGGAAAGACCTACAACTCCTTCCTTCTAATTGGCCGGAATCACTCCCCAAATCTCTGGCTCTTGGGACGGTTGGCATGCCAGGGTGAGTTTCAAGATCCAGAGGCAGTTATCTCCTGGATTTTGCTGTGCAGGATGTTTCCACCTATCTGTGTGACCTTTTTCTCTTGTCTTGTTCTACCATTATGTTGTCTGCTCTCCCTGGTAAAAAGCAGGGATGCCCTTACCCTGTAGAGGGCCTGAAGTTTGGCCCATCCTCTAGATTGGAGGAGATTTGTCTTGGAGATTATGGTGCCTCTCCTTGAGGAGTTGTAATAAGGTAGGAAGAGGATCCAGGAGGGGCTGGAAAGAATGTAGTTCAATTTGAATTTATCTCAGTGGAAAGACTCAAACTTCAGTGGCAGCTGGACTAGTCTGCTTTTGCCAATGGGCTCTTCTGCTATCATCACATTTCCAGAATTGTCTCCAAAACGAGCTGTCATACCATGCAGCAAAATAGAGGTCCTTTAAATTGCACTGCAGCAGACAGAGCTGCTGTGCCTCTGAGTCCATATTCACTACTGTAGTTTCTCAGTCATCTTCTCATATTTCTTCTCTCTTTCTCCATAGCTTGTATGGGAGATCAGGACTTGGTCAGTCCTGTTGACACAGAAGGCTTTCAAAATGAGCATAACATTGTGTGTGATGGAGAACTCAGATTTCATTTTGACATCAGGCAAGATGCATGTTTTTCCGGACAGCTGCTTGGCAGATTCAGTTCACCCTTTTAGTGTGGACCAAGTGGGAAGCTCCAAGCTTGAATTTAGAAGCTAGAAGAAAAGTTTTTTTGGGATTCTGGGCCAGTTGATCACATTACTTCAGAAAGCTCTCAGAGCCTGATGTTACTCAGTGTTTATGTGATCAGCAGAACATGCTTGAGCTAAACTTTGCTTCAGATTATTCATGCAGCAGCCATAGCTCTGCACAGTAGTCCTCAGGGGCCCATCAGTCAGCAAGGTTTTGCTGCCATTTTTCTGCCAGGCTTGATTAGTGATAAGTATCATTTATTCTTTGCCTCAATCTGGTAGGTACCAGCTGCCTACTGAACTCTGTCTAGCTTGGATTTCCTCTCTTTTCTGGCGTGTAACTGAGTTGTTGCCTTGCTGAGTTATCTCTCTGTTCTGTGCTGTGAAAACTTCTGCCACAGCATCCTGTTCCGCAGTAGTGTATCATCTGCATGTTTTCTAGAATGGCTGTAAAAAAGCCAAGTTAAGAAGTTTGGGTTAATTTTTGTATTTCATAAAGAACGATGAAAACTGAATCTAGTTCTAGTTGTGACAATATTTTGGATCAATGTGGTCAAGTCACATCTCTGTGTCTGGCCACTTTTATTCCTCTCTGAGCACTCTCTTTTTCTTCACAGCCTCACTGCCTATTTTGGCCTGCTGGAGGTCTGCAAGATGAAGCCAGGAGAGACGGTGCTGGTTAATGCTGCAGCTGGCGCAGTGGGCTCTGTGGTGGGGCAGCTTGCTAAGATTGGGGTGAGTGGCCTGAACTGCTCATACTTGCTCCTCAAAAGGCTCACCTGAGAGACAGGGCAACAAGGCCATGAATGATAGGAGGGCAGCATCCCTGAAGGCATGCCTACAGTAAGGTCTTGAGATGCTCCTGAAGATGCAGCAAAGCTAGTTGAATGTTCCCTAGAGCTCAAGAACTTGTACGGTGACGACAGCCTGACTTTAAGGGGGGGCCCTCCACCCAGCACTCTGAGTGTCTCCTGTCTTGTGAGGGGATGTTTAGAAATGTTTTTCTTCTTTCCTTGCAGGGTTGCAAAGTGGTTGGCTGTGCTGGCTCAGATGACAAGGTTGCCTATCTGAAAGAATTAGGCTTTGATGAAGCCTTTAATTACAAGACTGTTACATCTTTGGATGAAGCACTGCGTAAAGCCTCTCCTGATGGCTATGACTGTTTCTTTGACAATGTGAGTTCAGAGAGAGGGCCTTGTGCTGAACAGACTGTCATTTTCCTTAAACTGTAGCAGGAACTCAATATTGTATACATCTAATTGAAGACTACACCAGGAACTCAGTATTGAGCTCCCTAGGAGCTTATTGCTTTCCTGTTCCCTTCTCACGTTTATTTCTGCAGCTGATTTTGGGCAGTAACAGAAAGAACGAAGACCAAAGGGCAAAGCTAGATTATTGGCAGTGTTTGTAAATGGAGAGAGAGAAGCTTACCTTCACTCTCTGGAAAGTATGGCACATTTTGGGGATTGAGGGTCACAGCACATGAACAGGGGACAGCTCCAGTCCATTCCTGGCCCCACCTTGGACCACAGGCAGTTAGTTCTCTGCTGTTACTGTTACGGCCCTATGTTACACGGTCTAGGTGGCTACACCAGTATCTATAAACAAAACAGTTGCAAGGTCCACTTGTAAAATTGCTGGAGTGTCACGTAGAAGGTTTCTGACCTCTTCCAAGTACAGTTGGAGTTAATGGGGGCTGTGAACTGTTCTCAATAGGCTGTTTGAATGTGACCATCTTGTTTTGGTGGCTAAGAGAGTTTAACAGTATGGATGCAGTCAAACCGTATCAGGTCACTTTCAACAGACAACAAGCCCTGTTTTTTTTTAATTTCTTAGTGTAGCTAACCTATGTATTATACCTGATACAATACCTGTCACAGGAGCATTAGTTTTGATACTAGCCTAAAAATCCCTGGCTAATGATCTGCTTTAAGGGGCAGCCATCATCACCACTTCATCATGTCTTTCTCTCAGCAGTCTGATCCAGGAATGACAGTGCTGCTGTTCTGTGTGGATTGCAATGCACTCACCTTGTCCCAGCAGTCGATGTGAATGCCCCTGTGGCAGGAGCTCCTGTTTGCTTTGCCTCACCCTTACAATTTAATGTCCTGTGCTGCTAAGGTCTTAAATAGCTTCTGTGGTCACGTCCATTCCCTTCTCTCTCACTTCCAACTTCTGTGCAGAGCTCTCCCCAGCAGTAAATTTCCTCACAGCATTTCTGCATTAAGAGCTTCTGAGCACAGCACATCCTTATTTGAGAGAGGAGAATCATTAAGTAAAAACTTGACGTCACCGTGATGTGAAGAGGTAAAAGTACAGCCTGGCATGAGGGGAAAAGCAGAGGTGGTGCTTCTTAGTGTCCATAGACATGCTGCTTAGGAAGAGGGATCTAAGGGCAAGTCCTGTGCTGAACGCTTCCAAACCAAGCTTTGTGAAGCAGATTCAGAATTAAAAACAATTCCTTGCATTCATAACTAATTTTTAGAAGAGTGAGATTGAGATCTTATGGGTGTTGACTAGGTGTAAGGGTTTCTGCAGCCACCAAGTCTTTGGAGTAGTGGAACTCACTTTTCCACCCCTCAATTGAACGTATTGGTGCAACAATGCAAGGGGAGCAGGTTTTGGCAGTCAGTGCTAAACAGTGGATTCTTTCTGATGCTGCACATGCTCTGGTTCTTGTAGGTGGGTGGAGAATTTGCCAGTGTTGCTATCAACCAGATGAAGAAATATGGAAGGATTGCAGTCTGTGGAGCCATCTCTCAGTACAACGAATCTGTGCCTCAGAAAGGTGTGGACCAGCTTTCTTGTGTCTAAGTTTATTTCCTGTTTGGTGACAGCAGAGAGAAAGATGTAATGGGAGTCTCTTCAGATTTTATTGTTTGTTTCCATATGCCATTGGAGTGTGTGTATGTGTGTACATTTGGGTAACTAATGGCTGTGACCACACTCCTTGTGTGTAAGGGCACTCATCCCCCTTTGTGCACACTCATATCAGATGGAGAACATCAGCTGATTAGGAATGAAGGAGAGACTAAACTACTTAAAACAGGATTCCCCAGGGCTCTAAGCAGTAGAAGGCAGGTGTGGTGGCGTGATGCCATTTACACAGTATGTACTTTTAGGTGACTGAATGGATTTCCCTTGGGTTTTCGGATGAGGCAGCTTAGGGTTTATTTTTCCATAAGATTTCAGCTACTAGTGAAAAGTGGCTGAGATGAATATTCACTTTCAAGAGCATTCAGTTTTCCAAATTTGCCTTCTCGAAGAAATGAGACGTCTAAATTCTCTTTGACAACTGACTGGCTTTGGAGTCCCAGATCATTTTAAAAATGAGACAACCTTTTGAGTGTGGAGACACTATCACGGATTTTTATGATTCAGGGAACTGGTTTTTAATGTGTATAACTTTTTTGAGATCTAGCAAGAACATGAGAGCTTGGCAGGCTATTAAACAAGCTGTCAAAACAGTATTTCCAGGATTCATCTGAAGCCCCTTGGGTGAAACTCAGGCCATTTGACATTGAATGAAACTGTTTTCATAAGTGTTGGGTGTTTAGCCCAACAGGCTTACAGGTCAGGCCTTTGTTTCCCTGGGTGGCAGTTTTTCATGAGTCTTTGGTCTTTTGTCCCGGAAATTGTTTGGAAAAAAGTGCAGTTGCTTCTGGCTGGAACACAGCGATTCAGTGGTCTTTACTGGCTAAAAGCTCTCTTTACGCATTGGGTCTTATTTTAAATAAAACTGATAGTGCAGGTGCTTTGATGGTTCGTTTCTCTTGCAGGGCCTTACATTCAGGTTCCAATGATCTTCAAAGAGCTTCACATGGAAGGGTTTATTGTGTCCCGCTGGAGTAACCGCAGGGAGGAAGGTCTGAAGGCACTGCTAAAATGGGTCGTGGAGGTAAGGAAAGAAGGAGTTTACTGTAAGGTGTACTCGCACCATAGCTTTCCTCTTTGCAAGGGGTCTCTTGTCATAGCTGTTGAGGTGAGGTCCCAGCCTGAGACTTTTCTTCCACCTGACTTGATTTTTGAGCCTTTTGGGGACATAGTGAACATGCCTGATCCCTTCTGCTTTGTTGAGACCTGCAATGTGGACTTAGATATATTCCAGAGGATCTGGAATAGATCCAGATCCTAAGATGATCTAGCTTTTACAAACATGAGGATTTGTGATGGCTCAACTTTTGATCACTCAGATTTACAATTCCATACTTCCCTATGGGTGGAGACAGGCCTGGTTTTGGGGAAATAAACCCCTTCCTGTCCATTGTTTGAGGACCAAGTAGCACTAAACCTGTCCTGGTGTGTTTTTATAGGAGTGACTTTTGCTCCCTGTTATGACTCCAAACAGAAGGTCTTGCAACAAAAGCAGATCCTCACAACAGCTGATCTAGTTGTGCAAAGTTACCCTGGTGGTTTCAGATCAAACACACAAGCTGGAGAAAATTTGGTTGGCGTTTGCTCTTCTGAAGATGGTACAAACTAGGCAGCTGATGAATGAAAACTCAGCAATTTCCTTTCTTGCTTTTGACAGGGAAAAGTGAAGTACCATGAACAAGTCACTGAAGGATTTGACAACATGCCAATGGCTTTCATTGGAATGTTAAAGGGAGAAAATATTGGAAAAGCTGTTGTAAAAGTCTGAAGGTCACATATTCCTGGGAGACTGACACGGGCGAATGTGATTCTGTTAAATGGTTTAGGCTGATCGAAAGGCATGTTTCAGTCTTTTTGCTGGAGGTTTGGGGATGATAACTTCTGTTAATAATCAGGCTAATAAGTGTAAGTATATGCCAGTTGCTTTGCTGCTGAAGAACTCAAGAATTCCTTCCCAAAGCTACACAAAAAAAGCACCTTAAAACTGCTGAACTTCATAATAACTGTAACAGGTAACAGGTAATTTAATAGTACCTTGAACCTTCCTGCAAGTTGGATTGTAGAAGGAAAAAGTATTGCCAAAAGCTTTGTCAGCCGATGGCAAATCTGATGACTAATGTTTACTCATTGATTTGTCCCAGAACTTGGCAAGAAGGATTTTTTTTTAATCAATATCAAGAACAGGCTAACAACACCTGTGAGTTCCCAGCTTCCTCACTGGCTGCCTTTTTTTTTTTTTTTTTTTCTTGCATTCGGACAATAACGGCAGCCACTGCAGTGTGTAAGCATTTTAATGAGCTACATACTTCTGCTCGGCTGCTTTTTTTTTTTTTTTTTTACTTGCATCAGGAAACATAAGTCTCAGTTATTCTGAGATGATGGAAAGAAAAAAATAAATCTGTGGATACTTTGCTTGTGTTTATAGTTCTGTTTGTGGAATGCCTTCGTCGTCTTCCTTGTGGTTAACACAGAGTGGCTAAGTAACACAAGCACCTATTTATCCCAGCAGATCTCACTGAACTGGTGATATGGATAGGTCACTTATTTCCTTGAGTAATTTGGCCATTGGTGTCCAAGCTTAGAGTTGACCTTGCCATGGCTTTCACCCTGGCTCTCCTGGAAGATAAGATCAATATGCTTACCCTAGCATTGCAACAATAAATATCTTAGATGTATTGAAAAAGCCAGAACGAGAAGCTGTTACTAGAAGATACAGGCAGGTATTGAAGGTGATGGTGATCCATCTTTAACCACTGGGAAAGAATTCTTGGTTAATTTTTAGGTCTCATTATTGATGTGTGAAGAGGGATCCTAAGTGGCCTTAATGTCTTTGCAGTGCCAGGAATGCTCTATCAACAAGAAGAGATCACTTAAGATGTAGATCAACTGATACTTGCTGAGCAGACTGAACAAAAGACAGGTCCTGAAATACCGGTTGACTGGCCATTGGGGCAATAATGCATCTTGGCATGAGTAGGGGAGAGGTTCTGGTTGCTTTATAGGATTTTCTAAGGAGAAAGAATTGCCTGTTTGCATTAGCTCCAGTGCTGTGGTTTTCAGCCACCTCCTGAGAAAGATCTCTGGATTAATACAGCTGCACAGTGGGGAAAATGGTAAACCAGAAAAGGGAATTTGTTGTCAGTAGGCTTCAGGTCCACTGCATGTTGAGCTTCTAATCAACCAATACCCCCAAGTCCTTCTCATCAGGGCTGCTCTCAGTCCATTCTCTGCCCAGCCTGTATTTGTGTTTGGGATTGCCCCGACCCAGGTGCAGGACCTTGCATTTGGCTTGGGTGAACTTCATGAGGGTTGTACGGGCCCACCTCTCAAGCCTGTCCAGGTCCTTTGGGCAGCATCCCTTCCCTCCAGCGTATTGACCGCACCACACAGCCGGGTGTCATCAGCAAACTTGCTGAGGGTGCACTCAATCCCACTGTCCATGTCAACTACAAAGATGTTAAACAGCACTGGTACTGACCCCTGAGGAACACCTTAGGGTTGTCACTGGCTTCCACTTGGATGTTGAGCCATTGACCACAAACCCTTTGAGTGTGACCATCCAGCCAATTCCTTATCCACCAAGTGGTCCATCCATCAAATCCACGTCTCCAATTTAGAGCCCAGGATGTCATGCGAGACAGTGTCAAATGCTTTGCACAAGTCCAGGTAGGTGATGTCAGTTGCTCTTCCCTTATATACCAACGCTATAATGCCATTGTAGAAGGCCACCAAATTTGTCAGGTGTGATTTGCCCTTGGTGAAGCCATTTGGCTGTCACAAGTCACCTCCTTATTTTCCATGTGCCTCAGCAGAGTTTCCAGGAGGATCTGCTCCATAATCTTGCCGGGCACAGAGGTGAGACTGGCTAGCCTGTAGTTCCCTGGGTCCTTCTTTATTCCCTCAGTTCCTATGGATGTACCTCATCATGTCCCATGGACTTGTGCACCTTCAGGTTCCTTAGATGGTCTCAAACCTGGTCTTTTCCTACAGTGGATGGTTTCTCATTCCCCCAGTCCTTGCCTTTGCCTTTTGCAACTTGGGCAATGTGGTTACAGCCCTTCCCAGTGAAGAGAGAGGCAAAAAAGTCATTAAGTACCTCAGCCTTCTCCATATCCTGGGTGACCAGGTCTTCTGTTTCCTTCCAGCGAGGGCCCACATCTTCGCTAGTCTTTTATCACTGACATACATATAGAAGCTTTTCTTGCTGCCTTTGACATCCCTGGACAGACTTAATTCTGTCGGGGCTTTAGCTTGCCTAACCTGATCCCTGTGTGCTGGGACAGTATCTCTGTATTCCTCCCAGGCCACCTGCCCTTGCCTCCATCCTCTGCAGGCCTCCTTTTTGTGTTTGAGTTTGTCCAGGACCTCCTTGTTCATCCATGTAGGCCTCCTGGTGTTTTTGCCCAACTTCCGCTTCACTGGGATGCATCACTCCTGAGCTTGGAGGAGGTGATCCTTGAGTATTTGCCAGTTTTCTTGGGCCCGTCTTCCCTCCAGCGCTTTTTCCCCGCAGTACTCTACCGAGCAGATCCCTGAAGTGGCCAAAGCCTGCTCTCCTGAAGCCCAGGGTGCCAATGCCCAGCAGAGAGCAAAGGCACAGCGATGCGTTGTTGGGAGAGTCCCTTTCTGCCAATACATGACCACGTGTCCTTTGGGGCAGAGCATTGGTGGTGGTGCAGCCTGCCTCCCAGCACAAGTCCTGTGAGGGGCAGACACTGGCTGCCACCACCCTTCCTCTAACATTGTCACTCTGCAGTTGAGCTTAAAGGCTTCCTGGGGAAGGGTGAGCTCTTGGTGGTCCCACTGGCTGTCAGAAGGTGTGCAAGGTATTGCCTGGGGCTAGGTCCTCCTTGGCACTGCAGCAGTCCTCCACTTACAGGGTTGTCTGCTCTGCCCAGGGTGGGGTGCCCACTCCGCGATGGCCCTGCAGCTGGGGCTGATGCTGATTGTCACCTCTGGTCCCTTTGTGTTCCTTTTCTCCAGCCCACGGGGCCACATCTGTGCCACTACCTGGGTGACGCTTCGCAAGCAGGCTTGACAGTGGGATTTCTGAGGCCATTTAGGACCCCAGTTCATTGAGGATATAATATACGAGAGCAAGAGGAAGAGTTTATTTAATAATCTTAAATGTAAACAGCTGGAGGCTCATCATCTGTTGGGTAAATAGCTCTTCATTTATGCATAGCATTCTTTCCAGAGCAGTGGTTTAACCACTTAGTGCTTGCTCATGCAGAATAAAACACTCTCTCCATTAGAGGTGTTCCAGTCTAATAAATACTGCAACTTTTGAGTCCTATTCCTAACCAAATTTGAGGTGCTGCTGATGGTGATAACCTGCCTGAGCTCAGGACACAGTAGAGACCAGCATTGAGGAGCTCAGCGTGGCCTGTGGGCTGGTGAAACTGAGGAGCTATTCCTGCTGAGCTTCTCTCATGGTCCTCCAGGGTGGGTGCCCACAGGAGGGGTCAGGACAACATGGCACAGCCATGGCATCCATTCTCAAGTGAGCTGTGTTCCCCAGATGAATCAAATCCAACCCAAAACCCCCAGCACTGCTGATGGAGCCTGTATTGAGGTGAGCAAGGCATGTGAAGGAACGCACCATGTCTGACAGACAGATGGTGCCACCTGGATAGTTGAAAACCACTGCCTATGCCTTCTCCTACCACCCATTTCCTAGAGATGCCACCATCACCCTGGCATTGCCTCAGAGAGGGAAAAGCCCAAGGCATTCCCATAGTCAGTGTGTGTACATGTAAGTATGAACATGGACAGTCACTGCCACCTTGTGGAAATCTGCAACTGTCATAGATTTCTCTTCACCAGCTGCAAGCAGAGAGAAGGCTTCACACAGCTCCCACCCATTCTTCAGCTTCTCTGTCTACCACCCTGGACCATCTCAGCTTTCCCTCCCCAGAGAAGGAAAACTTGCATTTCATGTGGATGTGCTTCCCTGACACCTCCACAAGACCTTCTCAAACTCTTGTAGTTGATCCTTATCCAGTCTGGAGGCATCTGGCAGGGTATGCTGCTCACCTGCACAAAACCCCTGTGGAAAATAATGATGCAGCAGGGTGGTTCAACCTCTGCTCACCTAAACCGCGTACAGTGCCCACTGCCCACAGGTGGATGTTTCCAAGGGAAGCTGCATCCCATGGACAGCCCACAGAGGAACTGGCTCCTGGCAGGACTTCTGGCTTGTGGAGAGAAGCCCAGGCCTGAAGCAGGTTTTCTGGTAGGATCCTGTAGCCTACAAGGGATTCACACTGGAGCATTCCATTCCTGAAGGACTGTATCCCATGGAAGCCATGCTGGAGCAGGGGGAAGAGCATGAGGAGGAAGGAGCAGCAGAGACATGTTATGAAGTGACTGCCACCCCATCACCCTGCACCGCTCAGGGGTGGGGAGGTAGAAGAGTCAGGAGTGAAACTGAGCCTGGAAAGAAGGGAGAGGTAGGGGAAGGTGTTCATAGATTTGTTTTGATTATCCTACTCCACTTAATTGTAATAAATTTATTTCCCCAAGTTGAGTCCCTTTTGCACATGACTGCGATTGCTGACTGATGTCCCACTGTTCTGAACTCCAGTCACAGAGCTTTTCTGTCATTTCCCCCCATCCTGCTGAGGAAGGGAGTGATCAGAGGGGGTTGGTGGGCACCTGGCAGCCAGCCAAGGGCAACCCACCCGTCAGTCTCTCCCACCCCTCTCCAAGGGCCAGGAACCACCACTGCAAGAGTTTGGATCTCACCAGCCTGTTCCTCCAGCCGTGGTGGCTGCAAGTTGAGCACATCACAGAGGAGCTGCTATGGTCAAATAACAGAAGGTGGTTTTTACGCTTTCTAGATAGTTTCTAGATAGTTTTGATATATGAACAGTCAGAATTAAAACATTAGAATAATTACAGATACTCTCATTGGAAATCCTTTGGCATGGAATCCAAGTCTAACTTCGTTCAGGTCAACGAACGAATGAGAAGCAGATGGTTAACTGGAGCTGAAGTTAGGCTGACAACGACAGGAGATGTGGAAGAGATCTGCAGGTGGTTAAGAAAATCCTCCCCCAAAACACATGGATGAGTTAAGGAGTGTCACATCACCCCAATCCAATTGAGTCCCCTTGTCCACTGACTGTTACCCCACGGCCCTCCCTTTCATGCCAAGTTAGTCCTCTCTCGTTAAGCCTAGTCCTTCCAGCTACGCGTTGTAGTTGCTGTGCTCAAGGAAGTGCTTCTCCTCCTGTTGGCCAGCCCACTGTAAGAAAGCGAGACACAAACATCTTGCTCTACTGGTCTGACAGCAGCCGGGACACACATCCCAGCCATTTCACAGCCACATGGAACAGACTGCAGTTGCTACCTCAGGGGAGGACACCTTCTCCCCAGAGCCCTCACCCCAAAAAGAAACCTTTGTTATTTCTTCTCTGCCATGTACATTAAGTTTTTTCCAAATGAATGTTGGAGTCAGGTGGCCACCTACCGCTTCCCTTTAAAAGCATCTTTTCAGGATCAAGGTGGTCAGCTCTGTTCGTGCAAACAGCAGATCAGAGGGCAATCAAGGAGTGACCCAGCATATGCCACCTGCCATATGGGAATTCTGGTCCCACTCCTCTTCATGAAAAAGCAGCAAAACCACCCAGCCACCTGCAGAGCTCTCTAGTGTTGTACCTAATGCCCATGTGGCAGGTCACAGGGCCCACATTTTAGCACAGCTGCTTGTACCCATCCCATTTGGGGCAAAACCTTTATTTGCTCCATCTAGGCCTTGTCAAAGGCTGAAACCCCATGTTCTTGCCTGTTGGAAAACTCGGCCCAGTTCCCACGCTGACCTGGGGTCCCTCCTCCCAGCAGGAGCACCGTCACTGGGGGAACCAAGACTTCTTACATCATCTAGGAATAACCATTAGCCATAGCCTTCCAACATCCGTAATGACACAGACCAACTTCAAACACTCAAAATTCTGGCATTTGAAAAGAATAAGCCTGCTGGTTCCCTTAAAGGGAAAGTTCAGGAACACGCAGATCCTCACTGCATAATCCTCAAAGAGCCAGGCCTTAAAGGACACGTCCTTCCAAATGAGGCTGTCCAGGTTATTTTTGTCACACTATGCCTACAGGCCACCATCAGTTTCAACACAAGAGTCATTCCAGCCTTTCTGATCGTTCCCAATACTATCTTGACTTTAGAGTCACTCCTTTGTCACCTGGGGCTTCCCAGGCTATTGCAGAGTGGCATCACATCATGGGGGTCAACATTGTATCAAGTCCAATTCAGCCCAAGCAGCATTTCTCCTTAACTGCACCCTTCCCTGCTGTAACAACCTGGTCTGGCCTCACCCCTCAGCAGAAATACTATGTTGTAGAACATCTCAGTAGCTTCCTCATTGTTAAAGATGATGCTGTATTTTAGGGGCTCATACTGAACTTCCCCAGGACTTTTCAAGCCTTTCTTGCTCCCAGCTAGTGCCCGGAGGGAATAAGCCACCCACCCAGGGACTGCTGTCAGAAGCAGAGTTTGTTTGCAGATGGTGTGACATGAATGGTGTGCTCTCGCTCCAGCAACCATTTTGTTCTTACCCCACACGTCTGTCCATGCCCACGCGGGGTAGGTGTTTCCCACTTGCTGGTGTGACAGACTTCCAACACACAGCTGCGCTCCTCAAACATCCAGAGCTGCACTGAGAACCTTCTGCATCTCCTCCTCCTTGCACAATCACAACCCAGAGCTTACATCCAAGAAGATCCTTGATGGCTCATCCTCAAACTAAAGGGTGTGGTTGCTCCCTGGACTAGAAAGATCTTGTTTTAAAGAGGGAACATTGGCGGCAAGGCCCCCTGTGCTCTGCAGCCAGGAAATTCATGCATGCTTGTGAGATGAGTGTAAGGCTGAGTCACACACGAGCTCCCCACCGCAACGACCAGAGGCTCACTCATTCCACACTGTCTGCATCCACAGCAGGAAGTCCTGCTTTTTCACCATCGATACGCGGTGAACAGCACAGCTCACCCAGCCCCAACCACAGCACCGGGCACCGCCGCTGGCTACACCCCTGCCGCCTGATTTACTGAGTTCTTACCCAGGACAACACCCAAGCCAGCGAGAAAGACGGTTTGATATGGTGGCAAAAGACAGCAGTTCTCCTTGGTCACTCTGGGAAGAGTAGCTGAAGGGTGTACAGAGGCTGGCAGGTCAGCATGAATGTGGACAAGCCGCTGCAGGTTTGGAGGAATGCAGAGTCCAGCATGTTCTAAGAACGCACCAGCACGGTCAGTGAAAAGAAGAATGCATAATCTAAATTATCCCAGATTTAAGGCACTACAAGTTTTACCTCTTCAGTCATTTGCTCCAGACCACTGCCTAGGAACAAAGCAGACCAACTCAGAGACTGAACGTACTTCGCTGCTAATAAAACCAGAAGGTACACCAACGGTGAGGCAAAACAGCAGCAGATCCAAGCCCCACCTTACATTTCCATGGCAAGACTGGTATTATGTTCTGATAAATAAAGTCTTAAGCTTCAAAGACTAAACTAAGACTTGATAGCTTTTAGAAGAATCCTTAGCTAAAAAAAGAACAAAAAGAGAACCTACCCCACCCAGCCACCACACTCTTCTCTACCTCTCCTGAAGTCCCTTTTCTGTATCTGCGAGTCAGACTGTGACTGCTCAGATTGTAGCCTGGTGACTATCACCCCGGTAAGGTGGCAGCAGACTTCCAAAGCAGCTGTGGTATCCATCCCGTGCAACACAATCTTCCACCCACAGGAACAGATCAGGGTGCATTTGGCAAGAGTCTTTGTATCCAGGCACAGTATTGCTCTAACACAGCAAAAACTGACACCTTGGTGACATTACAAAATTCCTCACATTTTCAGTCAATCACAGGGCAATATCCAAAAGTGTAGAATTTGCACTTTATTGTACTCTTTTACATAGGTTAAGTAATGGAAATATCCCCTTGGTCTAGCTAGCTTGTTTAGCCTTATTTTGAAGTAGAAAAGTGACAGGCTATAACTTAGCCGAAGCAGTCATGCTTCAATGTCTTCATGGCTGGAGATTAGACTAGACTTTTAATGGTCTCCTCCAGTTTCTCTTTATTGGCCCCAGAGAACTCCTGCACCTGTAAAGAGAGATTGATTTTTAGAACCACTGCTTACATAACATTAGCTGCATAGCATCAAGACACATATACATCCACTCAACTCTGCCACAACTGAGAATTTGTTCATTCCACAAACAGGGAGTATCTTGCAGATGTTCATCTACTCATCACCCACTCATCTCATTCAAAAGCAGAAGTCTATCAAGAATCACCTCCAGACTACCATTGCTGGAGCCTTCTACAAGGGGAAAGACAACTGATCCTGAACCAATGCTGAGTCAGACTCCAATGCAGGCTTGAAGAGACTCCGTGGACGTCACCACGCAGCAGAGGCAGCACAAGCCACCTTGGGCTGCTCACCAATCAAATTCTGGAAGGACTGCTCCAAATGACCTGTCCCTTAGCCTGGCTTCTCCTGTTAGAATTGTCCTTGTTGTTTTCCTGTTGTGTAAGTTGCAAAGGCAACACTCATGTCTAAAAACCAGTGGTGCTCCCTCTTCCAGTACCTACAGGGGTGCAAAATACAGCACAGACTGTGCCACAGGCCATAAAATTGCCTGCTCAATACTGAAGTGTCCAGAAAACTGCAAAGGTCATCCAAAAAGCCACACAACAGCATTCAGCATAACTCATTCAACACACTGTCACATAATCACAACTCTTTCAATTACATTATGAAGCTGTGGAAGTTTACCCTGAGAAAACCATAAAAGGTTCATTATTAATCATGTTTTGGCCCCATATTTAATAGAACTCAAGGTCACCCAACACCTGACACTCACTTTTCAAGTCACAATGCCATTGCCTTCAGACATGAAACTTCCACCCAGATACTGTTCTACTTTAGAAAAGCCTACCTTCAGTTTGTAGGACAGACTAAAAAGCCTGAGATAACGCATTGAGCTCAACATGTTCAGGCAGGTAGCCATTCACAGCCACCCTGCACAGGCAGCCCACTATGCTATCAGAGCATGGTCTGCATCTCATGCCATCTGCTTCTTGGCAGAGCAGGCACAAGATCCTCTGACAGGGACAGGACCTGCACTGCACAGGTTACACAGCCTCTATGTAAAAGCATCCAAGCAGTTGTTTCAGCTGTGTGTACGTTCAACCACTTTAGGGACTTCTGTTTGGGTGGGATTCCACATCAAATATAGTCATGTCTCTCCTTGAACATGAGCTGCATTCAGAGAACAAATACTAACCAAGACTGGTGGAAAGCAGGGTGCCAGGCAGACAGAAGTCTTAACCCAGACATCTAACCCCACTAATCTGTCATGGAAGATCTGCCTGTAGAACTGACATGTAACACTAACTCAGTTCTCTACCTGTGAGCAACAGGGTTTGCTTCACCAGTTAACTGGTGGTCCACGTCACATTTGCCGCAGCACTAAGATGAACTTGCTTGGTCTCATGAATGTCTTAATGCCAGTGGTGCCCCAGACACATTTTCAAGAGAAACGAGACTATGTAGTCTAACATTCCCCATGTTCTCTCAAGCATTTAGCTGCGGGCTCCAGTGCCTAAAGAGCAGAGCCTACCTTCTTTCCGCTCTTGTAGAACTGGAACGTTGGCATGCACTTCACATCGCAGTGTGTAGCCACATCCTGGAAGGGACAGAAATCAATCTTCAGCTGCGCATGTCTGAAGGACATTACATTTAGAACCCACCAGCTGCCTTTTGTTTAGGTGACAGGGCAAAGCCATTACTGCTCAAAATGAAGCAAAAGCACTTCTGGCAGTCCATTGCCAGCAAAACACAGTGCAGTCTTAACATATCCCTGAAGGAGGGCTGAAAGATCCTCCCTTCAGCATTAAATTCATGCAATAGCAAAAACATATTTACTATACCTGCACTGTTTGGAAATAAACAGACCTCTGTATCAAAACAGAGAGGACTATTTGCAAGGCTCAAGAGACTTACAGCAACTCTTGTGTTTTAACCTGACATTGTTCAAGTACCTATTCCACACTGATGGAACTGCTTAACAGTAGACATTTTATTGCACTTAATTCAAGGCATGAAAGAGGACATAGCGCCAAAAGCAGCGGAGACCAGACAGACCAGGCAGTTTGTTCTATACAAGTATCCTCTAAAAATCCATCCTCCCCAGTGTAAGTGCTAAACCCCTATCTCTGCTTCTCAAAGTTGAAGTAATCTCTCATTTTGTTTCAGTATCTGCAAGGACATTAAAAAAAGTTCTTGATTGTCACTTGTATAGAATTCATTAGCTGCCTTCTCTTAGCATTACCCTGGACCATACCTGGGCATCATCCACATCAATTTCGATGAACACCACATCACCATACTTCTCACACAAACTCTAGAATGAAAGAAGAAACCATGAAGTTAGTGTTGCAGAAAAGCTTTCTTTTAAAATACAGAGTCATATAAATTATAAGACAGGTGCTGCTCATCCCCCCGTGAAACCAGCCCTGTTATCTTAAAGCAGCTATTTTACTGACCAGGACAATTTTTTTATTTTCAGCTCCAATACCTGGAAGACTGTGTTGAAGCTTGTTCAAACATACTCCCCACAGAGAACACTCAAATATCCCAAGACAGGCTGTAAGAGAAGGTCTTTCATCTACATCTTAGACTTTACCAGAAGATGACATTGCCACCTACACACAGCTGGAGTGATTACAATAACTGTGCACAGAAGGATAAGCATTGTTTCCATTCCAAATCCCACCTCTTTATGGACCTGAAGTTGCATGTAAGCATTAGGACAGCATAAGTTAAATGACATTTAAGCTCCCAGCTGTATCGAAGGTCAGTATATCTAACTCAATAGTCTCAAAGCAGATACTTCTGTGACTTCTCCCTTCTCCAGAAAATGCTGGCAGTCACATGTGGCAAAGGAAGTTCTCCATGTCAAGCAGCAAAAAAAATATCTGTGTATTCTTTAATAGAGTTGCCAATAAAAACAGAAAGGCTACTTACGTGGAAAAACGGCTTGATCATTTTGCATGGTCCACACCATGTGGCAGAGAAATCAACTACTATAAGCTTGTCACCAGCAGATTTCAGTTCTGCCTCAAATTCAGACTATAAAAAGAAAAGAATTGAACACATTAGGATTAGTCTAAATCATTTGGGAAAGGAGGGGAGGAAATCACTAAAGCTACCTTGCTCTCAGCATTAACACACTATTTAGTAGCTCTTTAAGCACTTCACTTAACTGGGGTATTTGTGCCATCATGAAGTGCTTCAGTGTGAATTGCATTCATCAGTGTTATCATCGGCCAGTGTCTTACAACTCTTCAATTAGAGAAAAACCACAATGCTCAGTCACCCCAACTCACTGAAGTGTGGAAACATAAGCTAGCCTATGATCCTCAATTCTGGGAGCTCTCTCAGGTGTTAACCCCTGAATGTGATCCTTATAGGTTTTAATAATCCATTTTCTCATTTCTGCCTTGGCAGGATGACCTCCATTTTCTTCTGGGACAGACTTTCCTCTACAGAATTTGAAAAGGACACAAACTTTTGTACACTCTTCCAGTCTGATTCCCTTTCCAGTCAATGGCTAACATCAAAATAATGTTGCATGGTTTATTCTACAGCATGTTTTATGAAGCAAGCTCACAGAATATTTACTTATTTTGCCAAGTGAATCAACATGTAACATCACTAGGCAAAGCAATGCTACGCATACAGACTACACAAGTAACACCCAAAACTGATTTAGAGCTTAAAGTCTATTTGATACACTTAATCACACCAATAATTTTTAGATATTGTTCTTAGGAACTTAGAGATCCTTACACACCATTAACCATGTGTTCTGGTCAAAAAGTGATGTTTTAGAAGAACTGAAAGACATTAAAAGCACCAAATATTTGCATGCTACCAAGAAGCAAACTGGTATCTCAGGCAGAAGCAGAAAATGCTAATGAGCTAGCTCCTGACAGTTTATTTTCCAAAGCAAGTACAAGCCACTTCAACATTCCTCAACTTCACTCATGGCAATATAAGCTTCAGGAGAGCTGTTAATACAGATTTAATTTCAGATTATGCATATGAAAGATAGCTGCTTTATTCTCCCCAATTTAACAGACCAGATCATTAGAGTTCTGCTTTCAGCTGGCTGTTGCTGGCAATATGGTGACTGCCACATATACACAGCGGACAGTTCTGCAGTGCAGGAGTTAACTGATGCCAGCTTCTGTAACCAGCCACAGTAAGTTGAGACTTGATTCTAGTAAGCTATTCCACCCATCAAAGCAAGCCATGCAGGTGAGGAACCAAGAGCACACGTAGTCAAACTGGTCACAAGTGTATTTAAAAAGCAAGCAGAGGGTCCTGCACCAGCATTTTTATGTATAAACCTATGTGAAAGTCTTCATAAGTTCCTGTAACTTCAAATACACCCAGCGTTACATCTCCCTGTTGATAAAATGTGTGTAGCTACCTTCAGAAGTGCAGGCGCCACATGTTGAGTTCTTCCATTCTTGCATCTTGGATATTCTGAGTCTACTCTGCTGTAATATCAGTAGCTAACACTCCACACCACCTACTCTCAGTCTGAAAGAGTTGGGAACAGTAAGTTTTCCTGTTTTTCCACATTCCCCCACTCCTCTACTGACATAGTATGCATTCCTGCATCCCAGCCCCAAAAGTACCCCATTCTCACCAACAATTTCCCCATACACAGCAATCCATGCTAGCTGCTCCCTGCAACTTCTTATTCCACAGGTTTCTCAGTCCAGCCTCACTCCTCCTCACCTTCAAATCCTACAGCTTGCCTTTTGGTATAGCTTCTCACATCTCTGCATTGTAACATCACCAGCTCTTTAACTGCTCTTCCTCCATCTGCCAGTTAGGCCTTCTTACAGTCAAGTCTTCTGTCCAGCTGCATAATTACTGTATTCTGCAAAAGGAGGTCCAGCCCTGGGATGTGCTCATCATATGGCTACACACCTCAGGTCTGCTATTGCAGAGACAAGGAGAAAGTAGGAGGGCATGATACCTACAGCTGGTCTTACACCATACACCACTGGAGACCTGGTCCTGACTACAATCAGGTATTGCCTTGAACTCATCTCTAGTGTCATCTAGAATTGCTGTGGGAGAGTAAAAAGAAATGCAGGATCCAAAGGTGCTTACTCTTGCAAGTTAAGAAATACTGAGCTAGGGAGAAGTCCTCAAAGTTTTCCCAGAGAGCTTAATTTCCCTGGAGGAAGACAGTAGCAGGGGAAAAACAAGCTACTCAACCTTTTCAATTTACTTCCACAGTTGTCTTTCATGTTAACTCTGAAATGACAAGCTTTCATATAAAAAAAACAGATCATCTTTGCTAACAGAAGAGAAACTCCCCGCCACTAGACCATTTGGTCACACTATTAGAGAATCTTACAACTTTGTTAACTAATATTTTCTTCAGGTAGCACCTTACTGGGGAAAACCTCTGACAGATGGTTGTTGGCTTGAGCATTATTTTTTTTTTGAACACTTAACTACAACCTCCCTGAGCACATGCACGACCTCATTTAGCCTGTATTACCCTCCAGCAGAAAATCACATGCTGCATTCAGCAACTACATTGGTCCAGGCCTCTGTTTCCAAGGGCCACGTAAGAGAAACTGCTCTAGTAATGAAAGCCTCTAGTGCAGCAGGGATTCCCAGCACCCAGGTAATACCTCAAAATGGAGGCTACTGACCACAGACAGTGCTGAAAGGAGTCTACTGCTCTCAGCAACAGATAGATAGCTTTAATCAAATCTGCCAGATGGCTTGGACCTTTAGCTGTAAACATGATTTCCAACACATATCAACTCACCCTTGAACTTGGATTAACCTGGTCATCATATGACTGCCAATGGTTACTACATAATTTAGTGGCTGGTTTATTTTGTTGTTTTTTTTTTTAAGTAAAGAAGGTAGCATAAACAGATTGAAGGTTCAACTGCCTGAACTCCCTAGCAAACACCACTTCTAAAACTATCATCTGTATCTGAAGCTGCAAATTTTCAATATTTCCTTTGATTCAAACAATAAAGGGGCAGCAGCTAGTGTGGAGAGGACAGCTTTGGCAACACCAGCATTTTAACAGTTTATATACCCCATTAACTTCCGCTACAAAAGTCCCATAGTCAAGCCATGTTAAAGTTACATGACTCAGCCATCTCAAGACCACGTATTTAAATTAACTGAAGCACTGCTCCTTCTGTCCACTAGCAGGAATTTGGGAGGGAGGAGTAAAGCACTCCAAAAGCAGCCATTATTCAGAAGCTGTCTGGTTTATAAAGAGGTGTGTTAGGAAAGGGGCCACATCTAGCTAGCGCTCACGCTCACATTGTTTTACAGATGTCATTCACAGAAGCTTTTGAAGGTACTGAAAGCAGGGGTTTTCCTCTTTGTATCAGAGAAGAATAAAAATCTGCTTTATTGGAAAACAGAACTAATCCAGAAATCCCCGTTAGACTGTACTTGAATACTCTGGGTGTTAAAATCTTGTTGTCAGCATGACTGTTGAGTCCACCATGGATGAGCAACAAAACCGTGCTTTAACTATAGCAGACTATTAATCAATGCTCATAGCTGGGAGGACAGTCCACTTTAAATTAGAGCAGGCTCCTCCTCCTGCAAAGCCAGGTTTATTGGCTCTCTATTGTTAAGCTGTTCCAGCCTACACCAAAAACTTCAAATCTTACTCAAAAAGTTCACCCCCTCTGTCCCTCCATAAACAGAGAAGGGGGAGGGGAGAGAGATACAAATTGGAGTAAGAATTTCAGGTTGAACTCATACACCGTTCCATCACCAGGACCTGAATGACAAGGCATTTCATTCCTCTTAACTTTTAGGAGCTTTCTGCATTCACAGATCTTTAAGCTGTGGTCACAAGAATTAGTATGTTCATGTGTCAGATGTTAACACCTCAGAGGTCCAACAGGGGAAGTCTGCCATGCTTTCCACTTACACAGTGAGAGGACTACTGCAGAGCATTACCTAGAAGACAAACTTGGATGCCATACAACATCACTGGCAGGCCACTTACAATCAGATCAAACTGACACTTTAACCAATTTTCACGTTCAGGATTCAAGACTAGCCCCACAGGTTTTTCCCAAAAATTAAGAGCTTGCTAAGTTTGCACAGAGGACATTTTTGGATATTTGGGGTCATAAGGTACTGCTAACAAATATCCTATTGTTGTCCATCAACCAGGTCAGCTGCTATGCACAAGACCACATACTGTTTCATCACCAGCAGAGTAGTCTCCACGTGTTGGTCTAGGCTTTATTACTATTCTGTATTGCAAAGCCACAGACACCTTTGTATTCACAGAGCCATCTAAACGACCAGGTACTGCATTAGTGTGCTGAACAAGTCAGACAGCACCATAACAAGGGAAATACTCCTTACACCAGCAACTCCTGTTATTTAAGTACAGGAATGAGCTCTAATAATTCTTTTCAAGTCAGGAAAATTGAGTTCATGTTTTCCATGAACTCCTACCCAGAATGACACCAGAACTAAGGAAGCCGCCTGGTCCCCTTCATACCAGCAGCAGGTAAGGCAAGCCGGGACATCTAGAGTGCAGCAGTACCCTGTTATCAGCTTGATAAATGAAACATGACATTCCCTTAATATTTTAAAGGGAGATGAGCATCAATCTGCCGTAATATGAAATTACATCACCTCCCTTCTCATTCTGACTGTCTGAAACCTCCAGACGTACAGTTATTTGTTCCCTCCCTCAGGTCGGAGCGAGTCCTCCAGTCGGATCCTCCCTTCCCCGGCTGCAGCGCTGAAGCAGGCTCCTCCTGCCCGGCCAGCCCAGAGGCCCCGGCGCACAGGGGCTCTCACTCGCCAGCCTCCACCAGCCAAGGCCTTACCGGGTCCACCGCAGCCCGAGGAGGGGCACTTGCTCGCCTGAGCGGCGGCCAGCCCAGCAGGCCCGCTCCTTCCCCTCCCGCCGGGGAGGCGATGCTCAGCTCGCCGCATCCCCCTCCCCTCTCAAGGGGAAAGCGGACGGCGGAGGAGGGGACACGCTACCCGCCGCCGGAGGAGGAGGCCGGAGCCGCCTGGGCGGCCAGGCTGCGGTAAGGCCGCCTCACGGACTCACCAGGCTGCCCACGCTCTTCACCATGGCGGCGGCTCGGCGTCGGGGAAGAAGATCGGCGGGGAGAGGGTTCGCGGTCGGCGGCTAAAAGGCAAGAAGGCGGCCGAGGGCCTCGTCCCTGCGTGCTGCTCCGCTACTGCTCAGCTCCACTGCGTCCCGCCGCCTCCAGCCGCCTCAACGCTCTCCCGCCGCCGCCCCGCCGCACGCATTATATAGCCGGCGCCGCGCCGCGCGCACTGCGCACGCGCACTCCGCCCGTCACTCACTCTCTCGCGCACTCACCCTCTCTCTCCCCCCACCCCGCTCCGTCCCCGCCCCATGGCGCGAGCGCGGCTTCCCCTCAGCGCGGCGGCGGGGCCTCGGCGGCGGGTTGTGAGGGGCGGGCGGGCGGTCCCGGCCTTCCCGCCGGCTGCCGGGGAGCGGCCACAACGGTTACCAGAAAAACCAAACAGCAGCGAGCCCCGGGGCTGTGGGAAAAGTGCTGCGTAACGCCGAGCAGGAAGTGTTTTCGGCGGCGGCGCCGTCCCCCAGCCCGGCCCGCACCGTGTCCCTCCTTCCTCCTCCTCCATCTCCCGCCGCCGGGCCGGGCCCGCGTTACGGGAAGGAGGAGGGATGGTGCTTCTGGTAACGCCGAGAGAGCACGGCTGTGGCGGTGCCGAGAGGCCTGAAAGGGCCGGATCGGAGGAATAAAGCGCGGGAGTGCCTTTTTTTTTAAAAAAAATTTCTCTTTCAGTCCCATTTCCCCCCAAAAGCGCAGGCCAGGGTTGCGGGGCAGCTCTGTTTCGTGGTGGGTTGCAGGGTTTCTGCAGCACAGAAGTGCTAGCTGATGTGACCCCTGAGCGATGCTAGCCCGGTGGCAAACACCAAAATGAATTCACATGGGTAGAGACCCTGTGAGCATCTTCAGTAGTTCCCCTCTTGGAGGGAGTCAGCCAGGACCAGAAGCAGTCATCGAAGAAGCAATTTCCTCTCAGCTTTCCCAGCTGTGGGAACTCGGTCATGGAAACATTAATTTCCATTTCTCACGTTTATCTCTCTTGTGTTCTGGAGAGGTTCTTTGTTCTGCTGCACGCTGCCCGTCCCAGAGCACGATGTGGGGCTGTCGCAGCCCTCCTCTCCTGTCGGGCTGGTGAGGCTTCGTGTTGGCGTATGGGGTTACCGACTCCAGCTCCTGCCATGCCAGACATGGGAAAGGCAAAGTTAGGCTTTGGGATCCAGGGTGCTGCCTGTGTCATGCCTGGGGTATTTCTGCAGGCTTTAGTAACTGCATTGCCAGCCCTGGGAAGAGTTTGTTCTGGGTTGCAACTGGGCAGAGGATGGGTGGAGGAAGGAAGGAGCAGAGGAAGGCTTAATGGATAAAAAGATGCTTCTTCATTGGAAAAAAAGAAAAGACAACAAAAGGCAGTTTGTCATGGATACAGCTACCAACTCATCCCAACAGGATGTGCCCTGATATGTTGCTTTGCTTTGTGGTAGACATTGAAAAACTGGTAACACCCGTCGCGCTCCCAACACTTGCCCCATGAGACTTTTTTTGGAGATCTCTTGGGTTAGAAATTTGTACTGAGAATAAGGCAATTTTTATTTTGAAAGTATATTAAGTGTGTGACTTACTAGCGTGGCAAAATTACAACAAGCACTAGGCTCTGTTTTCTGACCCCATGGTACTATCCCCTTTGCTCTTCTCCCTGCTTGTGGGTGCAACTTCTGCGTGCACCGTGGTGCACTTCCCACCTAGCCCTTTCCCAACCTGGTTTTTCCTACCTGAAGTGCTTCGGATGCTGCTTTCCACGTTCCTTCCCCTGCCTGTTCCATGCCATGAGCATCCCCTTTTTTCTTTGGTGGCAACTCCAGAGGAGCTAGGATGTCTGTGGGTGAGAAGCAGCACCAGAAGGGCTTGGTAGCTCCTGCTGACTTTTGCTTTTTCTTCCAGCTGGTCCCCACTGCCCTTGTGTCCGTGTGCCCCTGTGGCCGACAGAGGCAGCTGTGCATGTGCCCTGTGCCGCTTTGGGGAGGTTCAGCTGCTGCGGCTGGCTCAGGAGAGGGAAAGCAGGAAAGCCTTATCAGCCAAGGCACCTTGCTTTGAAACCCGCTGCCGGGCAGGATAAAATGATAGAGAAACTCGGACTGCCTTCAAAACCCAGCTCCCAAACGCCTCCGCTCAGCGTCGTGCAGCTCTCGCAGAAGCTAGTGCAAGCAAAGGAAGGAAGCAACCCACCCAGATAATAAATTCCTTGGTGCCCCTTTCTGTGGGCGAGCGTGGATGGGTAAACCCTCTGTGAACTTCGAGGAGAGGTGCCTACGTGCCCCCTGTCCTCAGATCTCGACTGCAGCCATGTAGTCCAAAAATGTTGCTGTGGGGTTGTTGTACGAATGCCTAAAATAACTGAACAGTAATATAATTTATATGAGCTGCACTTGATTCTTAGAGCGTACTAGTTACTATCATGACAGCACGTAATAAAAATCGTACAGAGGAATGTGGGTCCTCTGGCTGGGAAAAAAACCCCCCACACACCCCACACACCCCAAAACACACCCTGTTTTATTATTATTTCTGTCTTTTTTTTTTTTTTTTTTTTAGAGTGTCTTCTTGTTTAGCTCAAGAGTGCTGTAGCTGTCCCACGCACACAGTCACTCGACTGTGGGGCCCTTTGTTTCTCATGTGCCCACCCACCTTCCTCACGGCCAGAAATGCCACATACCTCTCTCCCCCGAGCCATCAGAGAGGGAACATGGCTCTTAAAAATAAGCAAGTTGACTGTGGGGAAGTTGGAAATTAAACCAATTTTGTGCTTCAGCAAATTGCTACATGCCATGTCATACCCAGGAGTCACTTGATAGGACGGCGAGCCAATAGACGGCTCTGAGCAAATGGAGGGGGGAACAGGAAGCACTTTTAAAGACACGTCTTTGCCCTTCAGGAACGTGGTTTTGCTTGCTCCGTAAACTCAGAGAACGTGTCTCGAGGAAGGAGGGAGTAGAAATGCAGTGAAGGCTTCAACAAGCAGTCCTTAGATAGTTTCTCTTGCAAAAGCTCTGGAGGCATTGATGAATGCTCATGCCACCCATGCACGATAGGAATGAATTGCTACACTCCTTTGATGTGTAGAAAGACTGTGGGAGAGAAGGTTGGCAGGTCTAAATTTAGGTGCCCTCGAGTGAATTAATCAGCATCACTTAGATGTAGGCCAGTAAAAAGGGCTGTATTTTTGGAGAGCCCACGTACCCCATGACCCTCACAAATGTCCAGGTGGGAATTCAATGAAAATTTGACCTCTTTTAATTATGTTTAAAGCTACTGTGACAGAAGTCACCCATTTTTGGGTTTTGTTTTTTTGTTGTTGTTGTTGTTGTTTTTTAAACTCTGCTTGTGGTGATTTATGTCACCTGTCAGTTGAGAGCAACACGCACCAGCAGTGGGGACGGACTTTGCCCAGAGCTGGCGGTGGACCTCAGTGTGCTCAGGGTCAGGCCTGTGGGAGGTTTGGGAGGCTGAACAAATTACATTTTCAGTTCTTTCCAAGCTGCTGGGAAAGGTGGGAAGCAGTGATATGTGGTAGGACGACCAGTTAGGTGTGGCTTAAATCATAGCATCCATCTGAATGAATGAGCCAGAGCCGTGGCCTGCGGTCCCAGTGTAGTGCTCCTGCAGGTCTTTGTGTCCCTCCACCAGCGGCTTTCCAGCTGCGTTTCCCTGCTGGCAACTGAGAGCAAGCAAACCTGCTGGGCTTTGGAGACATGGATCTGCTTCCCAGGACTCACCTTTGTCTTTTCTGCTTCACAAGCCACTGGGTGTTGGTGGCTGGAGGAAGCGCTGTCGAGCACGGATACCCAAAGTGGGCTGGGGTTCTGCAGCTGGAGATCCCGAGGGTGGCATTGCAAAGCATCCACCAACAGAAGGCCAGCTCTTGCAGGCTTTGGGCTCTGGTGCACAGTAGCCACTTATGTTCCATTTTCCCATAGGCATGTGACGGACGGCAAGAAAACCTGCAAAGAAGGGGAAAAAAAAAAAGAGAAAGAGCAAACAAAAGGAGAGCAGGGACCTGGACCCAGCACCGTCTGCTAACTTCTCACAAATTAACCCCTCCAAGCTCCTGTGAGCATATCTAAGACAAACGTCTGCCTCCCCAAACACTGTTAAGTCAGCAAACCACTGAAATGTGTGATGCATTAAAAGGGACTGCTACAGAGAAAATATTACGACAGCCATGGCATAGGTGGTCGGTCATGTCCAGCATTAAGCAACCGTGTAGCGAGTTGCAGAAATGAGGAAGCTGCTAAAGGCAACGACTCCAGGCAGAGCTGCATCAGATTTTATCGTAGGATTATTTGGCACTCCCTGACAATAGAAATTAGGAGTGTTGTGCCTGGCCCTGACACTGCGACAAAGCAGCAGCCTTTAATTGTACTTTCCCTTTCCTCCCAGCCTGCTCTTCTGGAAGATTTTGCTTTTGTAACTGACCTATTAAAGGTGCAGTAAGTATTTAATAATTAGATAGGTGTTGTGCCAGCGTAAGTCATGGACCAAACACGCTTCTCTCTCCCAAGAGGATGTACTACCAGTGTAATTACCCAGAGTCTTTTCAAAAAGGTGAGATGGGAAGCTGAGGGGAAAAATAGGAAAACAAAGATCTTGACCACAGTTCATCTCCCCTTACCAATCACTTGGTTAACCAAGCACTTCCTTCTGAGAGGCAAGAAAAAAACTCCCTCCCACTTATAATCGCTCAATTTTCAGTAAGTTATTTGGAGAAAGGAATCTCAAAACACTAGAGCTGCTGAAGCTGGTAGTTTTGGGCCTTGTATTATAAGGAACATGTTCATTTGATTTTTAAGAAACCTGTGAGCTCAGCTGGTTTCAAGGACAAGAGGAAACGGCCTCAAGTTGCAGCAGGGGAGGTTCAGATTGGATACAGCAAAAATTTTTACACTGGAGAGGTTCTTAAGCACTGGAATGGGCTGCCCAGGGAAGTGGTTGAGGCACCATCCCTGGAGATGTTCAAAAGACTGGTTGACATAGTGCTTAGTGACATGTTTTAGAGATGTGTTTTTATCAGAGTTAGGTTGATGGTTGAACCAGATGATCTTAAAGGTCCCTTCCAACCTAGACAATGCTATGATTCTGTGGCATGCTCTGGGTCTCCAGAAAGGAAGGTACCACTGGCACAATGTTTGCAAGCATGGGAACACTCACTCATC